ATTATTATTATCTGATATATACAAAGATACTTCAGAGTTCATGGAAGAAAGAATTAAAAGAAATTTTGATGCAGAAAATTTTTGAAATACATGTATGTTTTTCATGATGCACATTTCCTACTAACTTTTTGAGGAGCCCCAATATAATTGTTTAGAAAACATTGAGTCTGAAATGGATCTGGTGGAGCATACAGAATAACCAAATATGAAAATTGGGCTTCTGTTAGCTTTAAATTTTTTAAAGCATTAATGAAGTACAAGTTTACCTACTATTTTTTCCTAGCAATACATCAACAGGTATAATAATAATCTTTTTTTAAAAGAATTATTTACTTATTTGAAAGTCAGAGCTACAGAGAAGAAGAGGCAGAAGGATCTTCCTTCCGTTGGTTCACTCCCCAAATGGCCACAATGGCCGGAGCTGGGCTGATCCGAAGCCAGAAGCCAGGAGCTTCTTCTGGGTCTCTCATGTGGGTGCAGGGGCTCAAGGACTTGGGCCATCTTCTACTACATTCCCAAGTCATAGCAGAGAGCTGGATCAAAAGTGGAGTAGCCAGGTCTCGAACTGGTGCCCATATGAGATGTCGTCAGCACAGGCAGCTTTACCCACTATGTCACATCACTGGCCCCTAATAATAATCTTAATACTGTGAACCAAATTATCCTTAATCCTCATGACCCAAAAATTCTATTAGAGGAATAAAGTAGAAGTAGTAGGGATTGTAAAGGGACAAAACTACATACTCTGGCTGCTACAACCTTCTAGCTTTCTAAACTATTTGTTATTTTCATTTATTTGTATTTGTTAATTTATAAACATGTATTACTTTTGCAATTTAAGAATCCCTGATAAAGAACGTTTTTAAAAAGTTAAGATTTAAACTTCTTTAATGTTGTCATGTGAGGTTGCAGGATTAGACCTAAATAGCCCATAAATACAATATTCTAAAACAACTGGCACTCTGAAGACACAGATAGGTGGGATATAGTGCTAGACAAAAGTCATGTTTCAAGCCATGGAGGAAAAAGAATGGATTGTTTACAAGAGAAAGCTGTGGATGTTTTTGAGATATTTATGTCCTGTCACATAACCAAATAAGTCCCATGTGTGTTAAAGAACAAAACTTTAAAAAAAAATTAAAAGTGGTAGAACAAAAGATGTAGGAAAACATACCTGCAATCTAGGGGTGGTGAAAGGCTGCCTAAAATCTAATCCACAAAGCAAAACATGGTAATATTAAAGTCAAACAAAATGAGAATCAGGCTGAGGAAAAGTATCCGATACAGTATAACGAAGAATCAATGACCATAGTAATTGAGACCTTTGGTAACTTGACAAGGCAGCCCTACAGGAAAATGAGCAAAAAACAGGAACAGATCCATCCTCAAAGGAAGAAATGTAATAAACATGTAAACCCACCCCCAAAGGCACTAGTAAGGAAAGGCAAATAAAAAACAAAGGGCTTTCCGTAGACACACTCTCCTGGCCAAGAACTCAAACTCTGCTGTGATTGAAGCCTGGCTCTGCCGACTACTCACTGTGTGGCCTTGGGCACGTTAACCTCTCTGTGCCTGCTTCTTATCTATATGGAAAGTAAAGATAATAATACATCCTAACTCTTTATTATTGGTGAGTAATGAGTTAATATTCGTATAGTGTTCTGAATAGTGTATGACATGGAGCAATCACTCAACAAAAGGTAGGTCAACACCTTACTAAGACACACAAAGGTGCACCCACTCACACACTACAAATTCACACACTCAGCACACATTCAGAAGTTCACTATAACATGTGCCATAGCAAAAGCTGGATGTGACTTTAGTGACATCAATAGGCAGCAGACAAATGAATTTTGTACTTTCATGATGTGGGATAACAACAGCTGTTTAAAAGGGTGAGAATGATCTGAGGCACCAAAATAGGAAAATAACAAAGTGAGAAAAAAAAGCAACACAGACTTCTAGGTAATGATCTGAGTCATGTGCTTCAGATATGCCAAGTGTGAGACATGTGTGTAAACACAGTCCTATGTGCACATATACAGTATGCTCAGAAAATGTTACGACAGGATTTCTTCAGAGTGTTAGCAAAGGTGACCACGATGGCAGGGAAATGATGGGAGGAGAGGACCAAAGGGAGTGTTTACCAAAGAAACTACGTTTTTCTTTTCTCTCTTTTCTTTTAAAGGGAGCATGTGTGTATTCTTAAAAACTACAAAAAATAATTCACAATCAGAATTCCACCAGAAATTGACATAGGCACAAAGGTGAACAAGAGATGTTATGAAATCAGTTTATCCTATACCTTTTGTTGTTGTTGTTCAGGGAAAGATGGAATGACTGGCAAAGGAATTAGTCTAGTCATGCTTCAAAGAACATGTTTAGCTTTGGGGTTTTCAAACACTTTGAACGTGGGATAAAAATGCCAAAGTCATACCTGTTTCAAGGACAAAAATTCTACAACTGTCTCCATCAGCTGTTTCCATTGTATACAATGTTTACGTTTTTACATCTCCAGGAAGGCAGTGTTTGTAGATTCCAACCACAGACCTTCCATATTCCTTAGATGACATAAACAAATTAAAATAAGGCCAACCTAAGCCAGTCGTGTTTACCAACCTGATCCCCTCTGAAAACGAGAAATGAAGTCAAATACCCTTTAATACTATTTATTAGTGGAGTAATATAATACATTTTGACAAGTTGAACAGTTGTAACAGGCGCTGTTAAAGTCTCTACAGGGCCTGTTTAGAATGAAAACAGGAGTGAGAGACAGCTCTATAACTGGGGCTTTTTTTTTCTTTATTTTTTTTTTTTTTACAGGCAGAATGGACAGTGAGAGAGAGACAGAGAGAAAGGTCTTCCTTTGCCGTTGGTTCACCCTCCAATGGCCGCCGCTGCAGCCGGCGCACCGCGCTGATCCTGGCAGGAGCCAGGAGCCAGGTGCTTTTTCCTGGTCTCCCATGGGGTGCAGGGCCCAAGCACCTGGGCCATCCTCCACTGCACTCCCTGGCCATAGCAGAGAGCTGGCCTGGAAGAGGGGCAACCGGGACAGAATCCGGCGCCCCGACCGGGACTAGAACCCGGTGTGCCGGCGCCGCAAGGTGGAGGATTAGCCTACTGAGCCACGGCGCCGGCCATATAACTGGGTTTTAAGAACAGCTCAGCCATCAACCATATCCTAACCAAGTACTTTTATCCAGTTAATTTACAGAGTGAATCCCTGAGGCCTCTGGCCGTCTACCACTGCAGCGCTAATGAGCCCCATCTCCAACTTTTCTCATTGTGGCACTGGAAGCATTTATGCTTAAAATGTAATTAAACTTAAAACAAACAAGATCTTTATTCCCTGACAGCCCCTCTATTTTTAAACTGACAAAGGCCTGAACTTATATAGGATTATTTAGAAAGCGCTATATGTTTCAGCCACTTATGGCAAGACATTTGCCCAACTGTTCATCCTGCATGCAATTAGAAATCTAAATACTTGGGTAACGGGTTTCTACTGGGAATTCAACTTGCAGATCCTTTACAAACGAGTAATGTGGTAAGACTTGCTGTCCAATGAGGTGTCTTATTGAAATATCCCAGGCCGTTTCACTTGTCACAGCTGTCGTTTCAGCCGCTTGCACTCACAGTGTATAGCTTTCATTACGAAAATAGAAATTTGTGTCCTAAGTGCTGTTACATTACTAATGCTAAATATTTAATTCCCTGGGGTTCCAATTATGGTTGAGCACTGGCAACACTGATTCTACTTTTTAATAACAACTGTAAAAGCAATTTGAGCATTTTTCAATTAATTAAATACATAGTGAACGAGTAACCTCTTGTCATTCTGCCCTCCAGGACCTGAGCTAATTGGTGTAGAATAAAATGTTTTGAAAATTAACTGATATTCTGGTCTGCACACTGTTATACCATTAAATTACAGTTTGCAAAATGAAGTTTGTCTTCTAATAGTTACACTCAATATAGTCTGCAGATGTGAGAAGGTACCTGCGTTTTATGTACTTAACAGTGCCTCTAATTAGAGCCGAGTTCAAAGTCAAGTGCAGTTTCTCTAAACACCAGTCAGCACCAATAATACTTGGCACTGTTCACAGATAAATGCAACAAATTCCAACACAGCGAAGTTCCCCGGGGTTGCCTTCTGTGTTTTCGCAATTAAGCTTAAACAGTTTGAAAGTTTGCTCCTTCTTAAATCCTTGTTCAGGATCATTCTTATTGTTAATTATGGTCACGTAGAAAAGTTCAAAAGTAAGTTTTGGATTTTCTTTTCACAAGGGAAAGTTAGGAACTCCAAGTCTGGGAAAGTCCTTCCTTTCTAAACACTTTGTTGCGGTTTCTCGTTTCACCATAGAACAATGTCATAAATAAGCTCCAAATTGGAGTTTCAGCTGAAAAGGATGAATCATAAAAGCAGATGCCACATTTTACAAGGAACCTTTTTCTGAAGCACAATGAAATCCGATTAAAGAGACCATCTCCTGTAGAAAAACGCCTCTGACAGGTGTTCTTCCAGCGCCGCGTCTTGATTGGCCATAATCTAAAATCCATGCTCGGAGAGAGAATGCCTTCGCGGCAGCTGTCTGTCTCACAGAGATGATCCCCGAAACAGGTTTCAGTGAATTAGGCCATCTCAGCAGCACCATTGCGGCCATGGAGTGAGACACAGAAAGTGAAACTAATCACTCTGGGAGACAGGGGAAAATAATAGGGAAAATTTAATCATCTCCTACCAATCTTTAGGGTTTAAATCTTTAATGTTTTCTGAGATTTTAGTAACATCTTTGAGAAATGAATATTATTAGAGGATTAACTTGATAGCAGTAGTCAGTTAATATAAATAGATCAGCCTAAAATTCTGATTTTTTAAACTAAACTGGATAATGAGGGTATTTTAGAACTCTGGGTTGGGCTGACTTCTCAGGAAGCAATCTCTAGTCCACTACCAAATATACAGACACACACAGAAATGAAAAGGAAAACATGAATTTGCTTAAAATGTATTTATTAATCTATATGGCATGTAAGGGCTTAATGGCTCTTCAAAAACACTGGCTTTATACAACCCACTATAATCAACAATTCTTAAAACAGTAACTCAGAATTTATAAATCACAAATTAAATCCAGTTAGACTCGTTTTGCCAATGACTTCATCCAGGCCAAAACAAAAAGTGTTATATTTTAAAATCTAAACAGATATTGTTTGTATTAAGAAATGATCAGAAGTTATTCCCATTTCTGTACAGTTTTGAAAAACAGTAACTTCATTGGCGACTAATGTGCTTCTCAAACACAGTAAACGAAAGCACACCGAGCTCCCTGGACACCGAGCACTCCCCATAGTGACAGAGCATTGCATGCAGCCCCAGAGCCCCCAATCGGTGCACCTTGTTGCCCAGGTGGAGCTGGTCGTCAGATCCCTGTGGCAGTGTCCACCCTCTACCTGTGATGGCGGCGGCAGCAGCAGGATGCCAAGTTGTTGGGGATGATGAGGCGTCGTCCCCTTGGGGTCACATGCCCTGTCATCGAGCTCCTCTTCTTTCTGGGTGGCCTGGCTCGCCATGTCCTCTAGGGGCTGGCAGCCCCAATCTGGACAGCCAGCGCTAGGATTCACTCACTACCCCACCAGCACGAGTTCTGAGGACGAGTGGGAAACTCCACTGGCCTTGGAAGCAGAGGATCTGGGCCCAAACTCGAGCTTGCTGACAGCAGTGGGACTTGGGTGAGTCACTCCACAACTCTGCACCTCTGGGGTCCTGGCTGTGACATGAGGGGCCCCGTAATGCCCAGGTTGCTCTGGAGATCCAAGGCAAAACGACCATGGAAACGCTGGAGAAGCTGAAGCAGCTTGCAAACATCAGCCTCCCAGAGCTTGCAGCCCAACGGTCCGCTGCCAGCACCTTTACCCAAGCACCTGTCATCAGTAGTGTGCAAAGCACCTTGGGTAAAGAAAGTATGCAATGCAGCCCTAATTACATGCACAACAAAAAAATGAATCACTGAGGGTGCTGGGTTTTGACTAGAGATGCCCTTTTCAAATTAAGCGTTAGTTTTAATTCTAGTAAATTACAAGCCAAATGAACATGTGTTTAGGGCTTATTAATTTAAAAAGGAAAAAGAATTAGTAGGATAAAGAAGAGAAGGGGCATTAGCAAGATGTTATCATAATATGGGCATTCTGTAACAGTTAACTTAAAATGAGGCCTGCTTTCTACCTGATTCTCTATTCTAAGGTGTGTGCAACTAGCTCCCTTAGGCCTCACCTTCAAGGCCCTCGGCTACCCCAGCATGGCTACAATTAGCCCTCTGAAGTGCCAAGCAGTGGAGAGGAATGTTAAGGGGAAGAGGGGAAGAGGCAGAGCAGATCTCCCCATCTCAGCACCCAGCTGGCTAACGCCCACAGAGAACTGACATGCTGGTGAGGAAGGTTTCTCAGAGACAAGAACGGCTGGCAAGTTGGTGCACAGCCGCACATCTGGCCCCCAGAAGGCTCTGGAAGCCCTTTCTCACGCTGGCTGTCTTCTAACAAACTCCTGTACCTGGTCTCCAAGTCCACAGACACGTAAAGGCAGCAATTTGAAGGGTAGAGGGAGCCCTACAGGTAGGGCCAGTGAGAAATACAGCTGACAACAACGGAAGAAACAGAAATGTTAGGAAATGCCACCGTGAACTAGAACTGAACACAAAGCACACGAAAGCCAAACCTAAACTAAAACAAGGCAAAGCAAAACAAAAAGCCTGAGTCCTTCGACGAGAACTGAGTTAAACGTACTGATGAGTACTTCTTCCTATCACAACTGAATGAGACTCAGCATATTGTATGCGGGATAAAAAGGAAAGATACGACACATGTTGGAAAAACTGCCATCACAAAGAGTTAATGTTACTTCTTAAAACTTGGCTATCCTCAATAACCCACTCCCTAAGGGTTCCAGATTATTGTGGTTTTACTGTAGTTAGATAGTTTTATGGTTAATGTACTGTGGTATAAATAAATATAGCTTAGCCTAAGCGTCTCCACTGAAAATATGTATTCCATAAAATGACAAATAAAATAGGCCAATAACCAAACCCATAGTAAACAATTCAGCAAAAAAGTACATAACATTCGATTGAACTAAGATAAACTCATGCTCTTCAAAATTGAAAATAAATTTATTCAAAATGGACTTTCAAAATGAAAAACTCAATGTCCAAAGATAAGGGCTGAGAAAAGAGACATAAAAGTGCTAACTTACATACACTGCACTCATGAGAACTGAGTGAAGGGGAACAAACCTGAGGCACACAACTGTGGGAGCCAGCAGTATTCCACACCTCCAGTTTTCAACTGTGCATCATAAAGACATAGCGGGTTGAACTGAAACACAATTTACAAGTTGTTTGGCTGTCAGACAAATGAGAAATGAGAGATTTCAAGAATCACATCAACTTTTCTTGGGGGTAATTAGAGACAAAATATAACAAAGTCAAAGAGAAGAATTGGGAATTTTAAGGAAAGCAACCTGCCGAATGCTGTAACGCGCGCTCTGCCCCTGCCCCTGAGCACGGGCTGCTGGGTGGACGTTGTCCTGTTCAGGTTGCCTTTCAGAACACAAGATTGGCTACTGGGAAGACACTCAGAGCAGCACCAGCACGTCAGAGTCACAGCTTTTCTACTAGGTGACCACAATCAGCCAGGCCAACAAAGGCTATCCTGATTTGTGGCCTTGGGGAAAAAGTGGAGGATGAGCCCCCTGGGGACAGAGAGCGATGACAAAGGGCTATACATATTGTTAGCAGACTTTCTTCACCTGATACTGGCTATGGCAGGGTTTTAGTGACACCACTGTTTTACGTTGATAAATGTACATGGCCATTCTAATAGATGATATCACCACAGAAACAGGCATGTATGTCTGCCTCAGTGCCTACCGGCTTAGCTGATGTGCTGTTCGGTTAGGTATCAAAGTCTGCATGTCCCCCGATGGTCTCTGAATCGTGGAGCTTGGACAGCATGGACACGCACATCTTGTAAGCCTCAGGACTTCTGCCAGTTTGGGACCAGCCAACCTCTCCTCTCCAGGCTCCAGACACCCTCGGCCCATCAAAACACATGTAGGGCCACGCTGACATTACAAAGTAACATTACGGCAGAGTTTACTAGCAAGAAACTTCCGCGCTGTTTCATATAGGTCAGGGTTGAAGATTTGATGAACATTTAAAGTGTGCTTGGGATGGGCTACACACCTTGCACTCCACTGGGGAAGGCTATTTCAAGTTGCACCAACTGATCAGCAGGCAAATTATTCACTTTATACTTCTGGGGGAGAAGAGAATTTGGGTTTAGAAAGTCTACAGGTAAACCTAGCAAGGCCCCCAAGAGCCTGATTAGAGAACGAAGGGAAGGACATTCTCTCTCCTTGCGAGTGTGTGTCAGTGACGTGAAGGCAGCCTGAGCCTGTTTCCTGACAGCTACTGGAACACTTCCTTGAAAGATTCACAGGAATGCAGTTGTGCCCATTTGTCTATGACTGATTTTGTACTGCGATGACAAAGCAGCTGTGACAGAGATCTCTGGCTCACAAAGCCCAAATACTCTCTGGTTCTTGGCAGAAAAAGTTGGCTGACCCTTGCTGTAGATGTTCTCTCCGTGGGGTTAGGAACCCTTGGAAAGCTACTCCCCTGTACCCCTCCGCCATCAGTAGCCTTTTCCCTGTTTCCCCCACCCAGCTTGGTATAGTCTCCACCCCAAATCCTCATTTTGTTGACCAGTAATTCCATGCTTCTCCTATCTGCAGTGGAAGACCGGCCATGTGTTGCTGGTGTGGTGTGTTGTCTTAGGAAATACAGAAGATACACGTGGGTAACGAGAATGTGAAATTGCTCTCCAAGTCTCTAAAAGCATCTCGTGTTTTCCACATTCAGTTTGTCATGGGCTGCCAGACACTGTCTGTGGACTTCAGTTTCCAGGCTGGCTAGCTAATGGCTTTGGCCCAGCTGGTAGCCACTGTGGGTATTTGGGGGTGAATCAGTGGATAGAAGTTCTGTCTCTTCAATAAAATAAATGGATAGATAAAAATATACCATGCTAACACTAATCAAAAGAAAGCAGATGTAGCTGCATTAGTTTCAGATGTAGATTTTAGAGAAAGTTATAGAGAGAAACATTACACAAAGGAGTCAGTTCTCCAAGAAGACATAATAAACTTTAACATGTATGTGTTTAACAAACAGTATCAAAACTATGTGAGCTGGGGGCTGGTGCTGTGGCGTAGCAGGTAAAGCTACTGCCTGTAGCGCTGGCATCCCATATAGGCACTGGTTTAAGTCCCAGCTGCTCCACTTCCAAGCCAGTTCTCTGCCATGGCCTTGGAAAGCAGTAGATGGCTCAAGTCCTTAGGCCCCTGCACCCGCCTGGGAGACCTGGAAGACGCTCCTGGCTCCTGGCTCCAGATCAGCCTAGCTCTGGCTGTTGCAGCCATTTGGGGAATGAATCCGTGGGTGGAAGACCTCTCTCTCTCTCTCTCTCTCTCTCTCTCTCTCTCTCTGCCTTTGCTTCTTTGTTACTCTGCCTTTCAAATAAATAAATAAATAAATCTTTTAAAAAAATGTGAGGTGAAAACTGACAGACTGCAAGGAGAAATAGAGGAATCTACTCTCACAGCTGATATGAAGTCTCTTACAGACTTCAACAGCTCTCTCTCACAAATATATGGATCCAGCAGGCATAAAATTAGTTAGGACAAAGTTGAACTCAACACCACCATTAATAGAATACAGGTATCTATAGACTACCTAACACTAGCAGAACATACGTCTTTCTCACGCTGCCATGGAACATTCATCAGGACAGAAACACTCTGGGCCATAACACACACCTTAATAATACAGAATCTGCTCTCAGAACACAATGGCTTAAACTAGAAATCATTAACAGAAACATATCTAGAAACTTCTCAAATACTTGGACATTAAACAATGCATTTCTAGATAAAACATGGGTCAAAGAAGAAATATAAGGAAAACTTTAAAATATTTTGAACTAAATGAAAATGAAAACATAGCTTATAAAAATTGTAGAAAGCAAGGGGTCAGCGCTGTGGTGTAGTAGGCTAAGCTTTCACCTGTGGGGCGGCATCCCACATGGGTGCCAGTTTGTGCCTGGATGCTCCTCTTCTGATCCAGCTCTCTTCTTATGGCCTGGGAAAGCAGTGGAAGATGGCCCAAGTCCCTGGGCCCCTGCAACCCCATGGGAGACCCAGAAGAAGCTCCTGGCTCCTGGTTCTGGGTCGGCCCAGCTCAGGCTGTCACAGCCATTTGAGGAGTGAACCAACGGAAGGAAGACCTCTCTCTGTCTCTCCCTTTCTGTGTCTGTAATTCTGCCTTTCAAATAAATAAATAAATCTTTTAAAAAATGTAGACTGCAAAGAAAGCAGTGCTTAGAGAAAAATGTACAGCATTGAATACATATATTGGAAAATATATATTTAAAAGAAATAACCCAAATTTCTACCTTAAGAAACTAGAAAAAGAAGAGCAAATTAAATCCAAAGTAAGCATAAAAAAGAATAAGTATAAAAATAACACAAATTATAGCAAGGTAGGTAGTGGGATATAAGGTTAATACAAAAAACGCAATTGCTTTCCTATATACCAATAATAAACAAGTAAAATTTGGAATTGAAAACACAATTTCCCCCCAAAATAAAATACTTAGGTATAATCTCTATATACAAAGATATACAAACTATATACAAGATCTATATGAGGGAAGATATAAAACCTGATGAAAGAAATGGAGAGATATTCCATGACCATGGATAGGAAGATGTAATATCATCAAGATGTCAGCTGTTCCTAACTTGACTGAGAGATTCAACATAATCTCAATGAAAATCCCAGTAGGTTATTTTGTTAATAATGACAAATTTGGTCTTTATACGAGACCAAAAGGCCCAGAAGAGCAAACAATAAAGGACTATTAACTAAAATAAACAAAGAAGTCCTGAAATGCAACAAAAATAAGCACTCCAATTTAAAAAAAGGGTCAAAGATATTAACAGACACTTTATCAAAGAAAATACACAGACACAAATCATCCCAATAGAGAGTCAACTAATATTCTAATATTTAACAAGATGCCAGGAACACACAATGAGTAAAGGATAGTCTCTTCGACAAATGGTGTTGGATATCCACGTGAAAAAGGATAAAATATGGGCCTTAAGATGACACCATAAACAAAAATTAACTCAAAAGGAGTAGAGACTTAAATATAAGACCTGAACCTCTAAAGCTCCTAGGAGAAAACGTGGGGGAAAGCTGTGTGACACTGGTCTCAGCAACAGTTCCACAGAAGACACCAAAAGGCAGCAATAGCAAAAATAGACAATGAGACTACATTAAACTGAAAAGCGTTCTTTATAATAATCAAGAGTGAAAAAAACAGCACAGAAAGTGGGAGGAGATATTTATATGCCGTATGTTACATAGAGGTGAACTTCAGAAATATGTAAGGAACTCCTACAGCAATATAGCAAACAGAAACAAAAACAAGAACAAATTAGGTGGTAAAAAAGTAGACTAGGAGTGGTGGCACCTAAGACACCGCTCAGGACACCCAGAATCCCCAACCAGAGCGCCAGGGTCAAGTCCCAGCTCTGCTCCTGACGGCAGCTTCCTGCTAGTGCACACACTGGGGAGGCAGCAGGTGACCTGGATTCGGTTCTTGGATCTCAGCTTTGGCTTGGTTCATCCTCAGCCATCATGGGCATTCAGGGAGTGAGCCAGTGGATGGGAGCTGTCTGTCTCTCAAAAATTAAAATAACCACTTTTAGAAACTGGCTGCAGAATTGAACAGACATTTTTCCAAAGAAAACAACAAATGGCCAACATGTATTTGAAACGATGTTCAATACCAGTAACCATCAAAGAAACAAAACTCTAAACCACAAAGAGATATCACCTCATATCTGTTAGGAAAGCTATTTCAAAAATACCTAAATGACAAGTGCTGGTGAGGAAAAGAAGAAACTGAAAACCTCGGGGGCCGACGCTGTGGCACAGCAGGTTAAGCCCCGGCCTGCAGTGCCAGCATCCTCTATGGACATAGTTCAAGTCCAGATGCTCCACTTCCAATCCAGTTCCCTGCTAATGCACTTAGAAAAGCATCAGAAGATGGCCTAAGTGTTTGGGCCTCTGTACTCACATGAAAAACTGGATGGGCCGGTGCCGCGGCTCAATAGGCTAATCTTCCACCTAGCGGCGCCGGCACACCAGGTTCTAGTCCCAGTCGGGGCGCTGGATTCTTTCCCGGTTGCCCCTCTTCCAGGTCAGCTCTCTGCTGTGGCCCGGGAAGGCAGTGGAGGATGGGCCAAGTGCTTGGGCCCTGCACCCGCATGGGAGACCAGGGGAAGCACCTGGCACCTGCCTTCGGATCAGCATGGTGCGCAGGCTGTGGCGGCCATTGGAGGGTGAACCAACGGCAAAAGGAAGACCTTTCTCTCTGTCTCTCTCTCTCTCACTGTCGGAAGGAAGGAAGGGAGGAAGGGAGGAAGGGAGGAAGGGAGGAAGGGAGGAAGGGAGGAAGGGAGGAAGGGAGGAAGGGAGGAAGGGAGGAAGGGAGGAAGGAAGGAAGGAAGGAAGGAAGGAAGGAAAAAGAAAAACTGGATGAAGCTCCTGGCTCCTGGTTTAGGCTTGGTCCTGCCCTGCCCATTGCAGTCATTGGGGAGTGAACCAGCAGATGAAAGATCTGTCTCTACCTCTCCTCTCTCTTTCAAATAAATAAATAAACAAATCTTTAATAAAACAATTGGGGGGCCGACGCTGTGGCGTAGTGGGCTAAACCTTCACCTGTAGCGCCGGCATTCTATATGGGTGCCGGTTCTAGTCCTGGCTGCTCCTCTTCCAATCCTGTTCTCTGCTATGGCTTGGGAAAGCAGTGGAAGATGGCCCAAATGCTTGGGCCTCTACACCCATGTGGGAGACCTGGAGGAAGTTCCTGGCTTCAGATTGGCGCCGTTCCAGCCCTTGCAGCCATTTGGGGGAATGAACCAGCAGACGGAAGACCTTTCTCTCTGTATTTCCCTTTCTCTATATGGAACTCTGTCTCTCAAGTAAATAAATAAAAATCTTAAAAAAGAAAAACAGTTTGAAACCTTGTACATTGTTGATGGGAATGCAAAATGGTATGGAAAAAAGTATGGAGATTCCTTAAAAACTGACACAGCAATTCCACTTCTGGGTATTTATCCTAAAGAATTGAAACCAAGATTTCCAAGGGATAACAGCACTTTAACGCAGCACAATTCACAATAGTCAAGATGTGTCACATACAGCTGAATGGATTAAAATGGGATATACACATACAGTGGCATATCACTGAACCTAAATAGGAAATTCTGGCACATGCTAAACCCTGCATGAACCTGGAGGACATTATGCTAAGTGAAGTAAGGTAGTCACAGAAGGACAAGTACTGTATGATCCCAATTATGTGAGGTTCCTAAAATACTCAAAATCACAGACTCAGAGAGAATTGTGGTGGCCAGTGCTAGAGGGAGGGAGAATGAGGAATTGCTAACCACTGAGCATCAAGTCTCAATTACCCAAGATGACCAAGTTCTAGAGATTTGTTATACAACATTGTCTCTACTGTTAACAATGCCATGTTGTGCATTTTAAAATTTAAGAGTTCAGAGCTTATGTTAAGTGCTCATCATAAAATAAAATTGGGGGGGGGGGGCAGCATTGTGGTATAACAGGTTAAGCCACCACCTGCAGTGCTAGCATTCCATATGGGTGCGGGTTCAGGTCACGGCTGTTCCACTTCCGATCTAGCTCCCTGATAATGGCCTGAGAAAGCAGCAGAAGATGGCCCAATTTCTTGGGCTCCTGTACCCACAAAGGAGATCCAGAAGAAGTTCCTGGCTACTGGATTCGGACCAGCCCAGCTCTAGTCATTGTGGCCATTTGGAGAGTGAAGCAGTGGATAGAAGATTACTCTCTGTCTCTCTCTCTCTGTAATTCTTTCAAATAAATAAATAAATCTTAAAAAATAAAGAAAATTTCCTGGCTAAAAAAATAATTTATTTTGGAGAGAATAGGCAAATAGTATATTAAAAGATATTACAGGTCTTTAGGGCAATGCCAATTAAAACAAGAGATGCCACTCTTAAAAACAGTCACAAGCCAGAACACTTGACAACATCAAATGCTGAAAAGGATGTGGAGCAACAGGAACTCTCCTTCATTGCTGCTGCAAACACAAAATGGTGCAGCCATGGAGAGTTCAGTAGCCCCTAACAAAACTACATATCCATTCAATGTCTGACTTCCACTCATACGCTAGTATTTACCCAAAGGGGCTGAAAAGTTACATCCACACAGAAATCTGCAGACAGGGGCCGATGTTGTGATGCAGTGGATTAAGCTGTGGCCTGCAACGCCAGCATCCCATATGGAAGCCAGTGCAGGCCAAGTATCCCCTATGGGTACCGGTTCATCCAGTCCCAGCTGCTCCACTTCCAACCCAGCTCGCTGCTAATGCAACTGGGAAAGCAGTAGAGAATGGCCCAAGTGCTTGGGCCCCTGCACTGACATGGGAGACCCAGAAGAAGCTCCTAGCTCCTGTCTTTGGCCTTGCCAAGCCCTGGCTGTTGCAGCCATCTGGGGAGTAAACCAGCAGATGGAAGATCCCTTTCTATCTGTCTCTCCCTCTCTCTTTCTCTGTAACTCTGCCTTTCAAATAAAAAGAAAAATAAATCTTAAAAAAAAAAAAAGAAACCTGTAGACAGATTCTTAAAAATATTTATTTATTTATTTATTTGAGAGGAAGAGTTACAGACAGAGAGGTCTTCCATCTGTTGGCTCACTCCCCAAATGGCCGCAACAGCCAGAGCTGAGCTGATCCAAAGCTGGGAGCCAGTAGCTTCTTCTGGGTCTCCCATGTAGGTGCAGGGGCCCAAGCACTTGAGCCATTCTCTGCTGCTTTCCCAGGTGCATTAGCAGAAAGCTGGATTGGAAGAGGGGCAGTTGGACATGGACTGGTGCCCATATGGGATGCTGGCGCCACAGGCAGAGGCCAAACCTATTATGCCACAGCGCTGGCCCCATAGACAGATGTTTCTTATAGCTTTAATCATCAATGCCAAAATGCGGAAACAATCAAGACGTCCTTCAGCAGGGGAATGAACAGAAAACTTATGGTACATCCAGAGATGGAACCTTATCCAGCACTGGGAGGAAGTTAGTTTATCAAGTCATAGAAGGACACAGAGCAAACAAATGCATGTCACTAAGTGAAGAAGCCAATCTGAAAAGGCTGCGTGCAGCACGAGATTCCCACTCGATGACGTTCTGGAAGAGGAACTACGGAATGCAAAGATCAGTAGTTGCCAGGCGTGAGGGAGTGGGAGGGAAGAACAGGCAGACCAGAGAAGATTTTTAGGGCAGTGAAATGACTCTGCATGACACTATAATGGTAGGTTCACGTCACTGCCCGTTTGTCTAGCCCCACAGAGCATGTGCACAACAGGAGTGACCCCAGTGCACACCGTGGACTTGGGGTGATAGTGACGCGTCACTGCAGGTTCATCACTTGTGACAAATGTGCCACTCCAGTGGGGAGGCTGATAAGGGGAGAGGCTTTGCATGCAGGGGAGTTGGGGTATTCTGGGAAATTTCTGCACCTCTGCTCGGTTTTGCTGCAGACTACAGCTGCTTTACAGAGTCCACTCAGAAGAAAAGTCTGCAGGCTGTCAGTCCACGGACCCCACTGAAGAGCCACTGAGGGTGGAGGCCTTGAGTCCACAGCTCTGTGTCCCCCCGACTATCTGTCCAAGTGTCTGTGATAGTGGAAACAGACCAAGGTATGAGTAAGCTTCGAAAGGCTTTAGGAGGTACAATTGACCCAAACTGACCGACTGGGAAACTGAGGCAGAAGCAATGCCACGAACCAAGATCAGAGTTGGAGGAGGGCAGAGAAAGGAGCGAGGCTCTGCAGGGATTCGGGGAGGTGAGGGCGGCACCTGGAGAGCATGTCCAGGGGCACACAAGGGCGTGGCCAGCATAAGCGACAATAAGGGCCCAGGTGGAGCCCAGGCACAGTGGCATCTCAGAAGCTGGGACACTCTGCCACGCACACAACTGCAAATCACCCGTCGGCAATGGGGCCTTCAGATAACCAGGACTCCCAGGGGCCTGGAGACGAAGGAGAACCAGTGGTGAGATCTGATGTGGAAATGCATCGCTGCAAACGCAGCTTCCACAAGCTCAGCGAGGCAGGCAGAGTTCTGAGTGGGGCAGAACAGGAGAGAAGGGGTCTAGAGGGGAGATTGTAGGATGGAAGCCACCGAGGAGAAGAAAGTCCGTGAAGGGGGAGAATGCTCAGGTATAGAACAGAGGTAAGAAATCAGGAGGAAATGGGGAAAAGGTGCTTAGCTGGACAGGAGACAGGATCGCCATTTCTCTGAAAAACCAGGACAGAGGTACGCCTGGGCACACAACAGACACAGGGACAACGCTCTGTGGTGTGCTCAACAAACTGTCTCCTTTGGTTTTTACAGTTAAACGCTTCTTTTAGTTCAGCTTCTCAGTGGATTTCAAGGCAGTCGAAGTAAACATTTCAAAAGAGTCCCAGGTCCCCCACCTGCCCCCCGCCCCGTCCTAACTCTAAGACCTGCCTGCGCAGTCCGTACCTTTCCCACCCTCACCCTGCTGAGCAGAGCCCTGGGGCCTTAGTCTGGCTGCGCTCAGCAGTCGCTGTTCCCCATCCCCAGCTGGCTCTGCAGCAGCTCTGACAGGCAGAAGCCCCGGCAGCACAGTCCTCCCTGCTTCCTGCTTCTCCCACACCTGGGAACATGGCAGTGCCCTCTGGAGGACAAACGCTCATTATTCTAAGACTTGACACAAGTCGTCCTCAGGACAGCTTAATCATATTAAGCATACACAGGCAGGAACAAAATTTAAAAGCTCCCTCAGGGCTGTACTGTCCCCCAGCCAGACTGTAACCTGTGTGAGGGAAGGCCCGTGGCTCTGCTCCAGCACCCAGGAAGTACCAAGTGTTTCTGGAACGGCCGCGTGTGGAGGTGAGACCGAGATGAAGCCACGGACCTGAAAACCTGAAGACGAACGAGCCACTGAGCCCACGCTGCGCTCTGAGTGCTCTGAGTGCTCCTGAAAATCTCCTGCGCTCGGCGACGCTTCCCCCTTGTATCTTTCCGCCTCTGGGCACAGCTGACGTGTCCTACCCTCAACTGGGGACAGCTAGAGCCAGGAGCCGCCTTTCCCCTGCCTTCCTTTTCACTTGTTTCAGAACAAACTCTGCCCAGTAACAGCCAACGGCCTGGCTCCAGCCTTGCCTTCCACAGGCGGTGACGCCGCGTGGAAGAAATGAAGGAGAACGCATGTCCTGAGAAAGTCCGCCAGCGTCAAAGAGCACGCGGCAACTTCCAAACCCCGCGGCCGTCCCACGAGCCACCTGAAGACCAAGTGCTCGGCGCACACACAGCAGGGACAGTCCTCTCCAGCCCAGCTTCTCCCGGGCACCCCCTCCAAACCCCGTGACCATGGCCGCGCTGCTATCTGCAAAAGCAGAGCCGCTCAGGTGCACGCGGACCTCAAGTGCCCCCACCAGGCACAGGAAAAGCTCTTCCCTGTCTCTGCGGACCCGCTGCTGCTCCTCGCAGGCTGGGCCGCTCCCAGGCTCCCAGGGCGACACTGTTCCTGCTCTGGGCTCCCTCTGCCCACCAGGCCTCGACCCCACGACCGTCCTTCCGAGAAGCGTCCCTGGACCTGACCTCTCCTCCATCAGGCTCAATGAGTGACTGCCACGGCACCGGGCCTCTCCCTGTCATCATCACATGGGGTGACATGCTCTGTTCATGGCTCTGTCTCCTCGGTCATGCTAAGCCCCACGCCCCACGGGGAAAGGCAGCATGCTGCTTACCATGTTACCTCCTGGCTAGAGCCCAAAACTGCTTTGCTGAATCAGGGAATTTATTTATGGATTTATTACAATGACAAAACATAGCAGGGACACGAGAGTAACCACGACTACGTGGGACATTGTCTTGGCTAAAATCCAGTTCTGAGACTAACACGCCGAGGCTTGCTCCTTGTGTCCATATTTGGTGCCACAGTGTTTGCATGACACGGGCAAATGGCAAGTAGACATCTGCTTCTGACACGTAGAGAATAAAATATTACTAAGAATAGGGCTGTGATACAAGCACCTGCAAAGTGAACTTCCACAAGTTGGGCCAGCGCCTCTGAGACGGCGGCACTTGCTCTGGGGTCGGAAGGGAAGCCTAAACACTCACGCTCACTTACTACCAAGCTGGCTCAGCTTCCCGGGACTGGCTCCCCAGCAGCAGAACATCTTCTCCCACTCTGCTGTTTTAGGCACTGAGTACGGAAGAAGCTGGAATAAAGAGGCTCCTGGAAAAAAAACAAAGCTGTCTGGCAGTGTGTCTCACCACTCACACTTGAGAACATCTATGACGTCAAATTTAAAGATGGCACATGGTTAAAATAACTTAGCACTAAATTGCTCCAAAACCATTTTGTGAAGAATATGTCAACAATTATAGACAAAATTATAAAGTGCCTGGTATTTTAAAATAATACCCAGACATCACAGCCACCACCACAGTCAGGAAGTCTAGAGGTGACCAACTATGATAGATTGTATTTGTAAAATTTTAAAGTGTCTAAAATGATACCTTTTTTTTTTTTTTAAATTTTTTAACTGCTACCTAAACAGCATTACAAGATGATGGCAGAATGCTTTGTCATTGTGTATATGCACAGCTTTGAAGTTCCTGGCCTTAAACAGCCCTTTTATAAAACACATTTTGGTCCTGTCATTGGCAACACCAGATAGCTGGGATATTGCAATAAAATATTATTCCATACAAAATCATGAGTATTTTTTTTGTCTTTTATAACCCCTCTAACGCAAAGAACCTGACAGGAACTCACGGCTCTGTTCTCCGAGTGGAAGGGGCCTCGGCAGTGTCAGAGCTTCCTATGCTCGCTGCCCACAGTTGCTCTCCGATCTCGCTTACGACCTTGGAGCTTTTAACAGAACTCACAGGCATGTTTGTATTTTTTTTAGTTTGCTCAAAATAGCTTCTTAATAAAGCTATTAACTCTGCGTAACTTTACAAATGTATTCTCATTTAACTTTTTAATCTATATGTGATTGTATCATTTTAATCTGGAAGTCCTTTCAAAAGTTGTTGTTACTTTAAACCAAAAACAAATTTTTAAAAAAGCATTATAGATTCACATTCAAGACAACAGCAAAGCATAGAATATCTTATTCCTTCTTATCAAATATAAAAGGTGAAAACACATTTTACACACACACATACACACACATGCATAAATGGGACTCTTCCGAGTTTCACGAGGAAGCGTGCCCACTTGTTTTTCATTCAAACCACCATATTAAATTCAAAAATTACTCTTTTAAAACTCTATGCCCCATTTCTGATGAGGAAGATGTTAAATATACTTTCGGGCAGTGACATGCCCCTTTGATCCCCCACAGAATTCTAGTCAGACCAGATTCCACCCCAATTCCAAAAAAAAACAAACTGTAAATTTGCCTCTTTTTGTATCTGATGTCTTTCCCCATATCACATATATTGAAGGCCCCTCTTCATATATGTATCTTTATTCCTTTCCATAGAAATTTTTTGCTAAAAAAAAAAAAAGCTGATTTTTCCGATGTTGTTTCTCTAAAATAAGAACAGGATCTAGGGGTAGGCTTTTGGCGCAGCAGTTACAATGCCGCCTCGGATGCCCACATGGAGGCCTCCAGCTCCCTGTTAATGTGCACACTGGGAGGTAACAGGTGACAGCTCAAGTATTAGGGTCCCTTTCACCCCGGTGGGAGACCTGGATTGAGTTCCGGGTACCTGGGCTTCACCTGGCCTTGTGCTTGCTGATGTATTTGGGGAGTGAACCAGCAGGCTGAAGTTCTCTCTCTGTATCTCTGTTTCTTTCTGCCTTTCAAATGAAATGAAAACAAATAAAAAAGCAAACAGAAAAATCCTTATTTAAAAGAAGATATTCTTATGTCTGGCTACAAATTATTTAAAATAGTGTATATTTTAAAATCATAAGCAAATCTAAAGCAAAAATACTACAAAAATGTAGATGTCCTCCCTTGCCTCCCACTCCCCGCCCTCCCCGGCACCAATTCTTGTTTTCCAAAGAAATATTCTATATAATTAGCACATGACCCACAATTCACACACAAAACCCTCTACATAAATGTTTCTAAGAGTTTTGGTCACAATAATAATTTAAAAAACAAAAAGCTAAAAGAAGCCTTAAATCTCGAGTGGCAAATGGGTAAACAAACTGTGGAATGGCCAGGCCATGGAGGCTCCCCACAAGAAGGGGTCACTGACACACGCCAGAGGGATGCCGGGAAATGACGCCGAGTGGAAAAAGCCAGGCCAGAAGGTTGCACTCTGTGATTCCATTGATCAGAGAAGCTGAGGTTACCCGGAGTGGGGGTGAGGACGGCAGTAGGTGTGGCTATAAAGGGACAAATGCTTCCTCCCTTGACTGCATCAGCGTCAGTGGCCAGGGAAGATGTCATTACTGGAGGAAACTGGGTAAAGGGTCAGGAGAGCACCTGCCTTACTGTGTACGGCTGGATGTGAATCTACAGTTATCCAAAAACACAGTTTAATCAAAAGTCAAAATGGAAAAGGAAATATTCTAGCCTAATAAATGTTCTTGCAATTTCTACAAGTGTCCTCAGCATGCAGGTAGCTCCCCGGTTCCCTCCTGAGGGGCTACGGGGGTCAGACACATGCCTCCCCGGTGTTCACACCAGAGCCCCCCACCCCGCCCCCGGCCTGCCTGCACAAGGGAGTCCTTCCGGCTCCCCACAGCTGCTACAAAGGCCACAAGAAGGAATTCCTAACTGCAAGCCCATCTGTCATTACTCAGTCTACCCAAATGTTGGAACTTGGTGACAGAACTGCATGTCAGCCTTCTTTACATACAGCAAATGTTCAGTCACGTAACAAATGCTCTTCCAAGTTAAGGTGACTTTTCCTTGTAACTGAACTGAGCTAACAGATCTGTTTAAGGGAGAAATGGTCTGTTCCAACAAGATTAATATAGAGAATTAAAATATACATCCAGATAATCTCCTAGTCTTTCTTCTCCCATAAATATAATAAAGCCATAGTAGAAAGTGGTTTTAAACCTACTCTAATGATATGTGATTGCCAGAATTACTATGATGGAGAAAATAGTTTTTTTAATCCTCTTTGTTAGCTATAAACATTCAATCTAATAAAGACATTTTAGGGAAAAAGTCAACATATAAATTGTTTTATTTTTCTTATACCTTGATTAAAACAGGAAATACTTGGTAATAACTTTACACTATTAAGCATTTTCAAGAAACTGCTGATCAACAAGAGATTAACCCTCTTCTGCAGGGCAACTGAGGATTTTAATTGGAAAAAGTGAATAGTTTATGGACAGAAACCTTCAAAACATGTTTAAACCACATGGGTACTTGATCCTTCCACGTCCTTTGCAGTTAGATTGAAACAGATCACAGGAAACCTCAGAGATGGACAGCTGAATCTAAAAGAAAAAACAAACAAACAGCATTCAGTTGTCATGAGCATTCACAACCACTGTCCCCATCAGCCCTGCTATCTTATACTTCATTGATCACACTCACCATTGCCATGCTGCTTCATGCTTGGGAGAAGACAAATCACTAATCAATTATGTACACTAATTAAAAATGCTACCTTAGGAGGCATTTTAATAACTTAGTAATAAGGGTGAAGTGTTTCTTCTAACTGCTTACTTCAAAACATTTTTGATCTCCCATTTGCCACGACTCACTGAACATTTGTAAACTGCAGTCCCCACAAACTATCAAATTGCACCCCAAAAGTAGTGGTGCAATTCTACAGCCAGCTGAGGTCAGAGGGAAAATAGAATTATATGCTGATTTGTTCTTTCATTAAGTTATTATAGAAGGTCAGACAAAATACAGTCAAGTGAATTCTGGAAAAAAATTAAGTAGACTGGTAAGTACCGTATCAAAGTGAACTGTTTATCTTAAAAGACACAAATACAAGAAAGATTTTTAAAGTGGGAGTATTTAGCCTTTTCAGAAACAAATGTTTTAACCAGCCCAGGCAATGACTTGCGTTATTTAAAAAGACTTTCCGTGGTTTCTCCCCAAGGAGAACAGAAGCACTGGAGAAAGGTGTAGTATCCAAAAGAGAACTTCACCAGAAAAAGCTTTATCTACGGATTTTTTAAATTTAATCCATATAAATAGTTTTCCACACATACCGTAAAATGAACACATAGGTTCAAACTAAATGATGGAGTCATGAGGTATTAACTATATATTTTGTTTACTCCAAAATAAAGTAACCAACAACATAGGATTTTCTTAAGCAAGGTTTGTCTGAAGAAAATATGATTTTAAAAAATTATCGAGGAAAAAAATTCGCATCTTTTTTTGACTGAAACATAAATATTCTAAGGATATTACATCAACTTAAAAAAACACAACTATATGTTACATTGCACATGGGGAGCCTATAGTACACAATCAACTAGCATATATTTATGAAGAAACAGAAGAACGAAGCTCCAAGTCTCTAAACACAAAGTCAAGTCATAGAAGGGGAAGTGCTGATTACCCTATTTTGATCAGTATACACTGTGTGTATACACTGCATGTTACACCCTACCACAAATACATATAATTATTAATTACACATTTAAAAATATTTTGTGATCACTACTGATCATACTGGAATCATTTTATCATCTGAATTAATGATTGAAGACTTTGGGCTCCTGGTTTCTTTATGGTGATGGCATATGCCTTATAGTTCTGCATTTCGAAAGTCCTTTCATAGAAAAAGGGCAAGAACTGGGGGGAGGAGGTGGATATAGAAATGAAATCTAAGGCCTATCAAAGCACAGGTCCAGTATTTTGCAAAGCGCCGAGTTTACTTCAGGACACAATTAAGACAAATGACAAGAAATCCTCGGTGTCACACCCTTAGGAAAATTCCTGGGGGAAAACAAAAAGATTATTCTGCATCCTACAGCCTACCCTATTTTTCCCTTGAAATGTACTCAGATTTTCCATTTCATTCAAAATCTCCAGTGCCGTGCTACAAGAGAACTAGCACCCACAGAGAGCAGCTGAATTTCCTGCATATCAGAACTCACTTTTAATTTCTAAAGGGGTTTTCCCTATTGATTTTAATGTTTTTATTTCTACTAGTTACCATAAAATGAGTTAGGTTCCCATGACATGTCAATTTGACATCTTGTTCAAATACTTACTTTTCTGCTATATATAGTCCGTACTGTTTACCCTATTTGCTCCTTATTAAATTAGGTATGGAAATGCTAACTGAGGCATAAAATCTTCAGTCACCTCATAGACCATAAACATAAAGGTATATACTGTTTGTTACACGTCATGCTTTTGTGAAGGATCTTATATACTGTGATCTTAATTCATCAAAAAATGAATACATACAAAGAGGGGAGAGTGTCTGACAAAGCTGAAAACATGCCCTGTTTCAAAAATTAGGATGTCAGAAAATTAATCTTCATTCCCACTAAAAGCAATCTGAAGTGCAGAAATAGAGTTATTCTACCATAAAATGGGACACATTAACTACAACAATAACCCATGTGAAATGTCTTAATATGATTATGACTTCATCCACAAATAACTGTACACACAGCTAACAACATTTTCATATTCATTACCAGAGGTCCCAATGAAAAACACCTGTACTGAAATTGTAAAAATATTCAGTTGGTTAAAACTAACACCAGACAAAGTAGTAGCTATTCTGGTTAAAATTAAGATTCCAAATTGGAAGGTACTTCAAAAAGTTCAGGGAAAAATGGAATGAAAAGGTAAGCTCATTTTGGTGCAAAAAGATTTTTGAAACCTGTGCGTGGTTTTATTCACCGTATGCATTTCCCACGAATGTTCTGAGGCTCCTCCTAAGCCGTGAAAAGAACCGCTCACAGCAAGGGCAAAATATTTAGACTCTGGTGATCACAAACACCACTGTGGCTCCTGATGGCTTGCTTAGGAAACTGCGTTCCTGCCGGCTCCAGAGGAGGAGAGTGGGAAGCTTCTTACAACCAGCTGAAAAGAGAGTCTCCACCGTGCCCCTTGAAAAAGCTCATTTTCACATTACTCAGGCTTCATTATGCTAAATCAATATTCGTTTAGTCACTGGGGTTATTGACATATTTTAAAATAAAAGTATACCCTTCAGCTACTGCACTCATTACAGGTAATTTGTCTTGTCAGAGAGCAGGGAATATTATCCTAGTCTTTCAGGGCTGACAGCCCATGGAAATACCTCCCCATGGTTGCAACTGTAAATAATTTTAAGGTAAAATATTGAAAAATCAATGACTGTTTCCTGCAATCTGTCACAAACAAATCAATCATCATCTGTACTGCCAGAGAGTATGATTTGAAGGAGATGGGAGCAGATGTAATTCTTGGCTGGAGTCTCTCATTTCAAAACCACTTCACATAATGGTGTCATCATTTAAACACTTAACAGTCGGCGCAACTGCCACCGGAACATCGCGCTGGACAAAACCACAAGGAGGAGGAGGAGAAACGCCGTCGCTATTATGTTAACAAACACGGAATCTCCACGGCTGCCGTATTAGTGCGTTTCAGCCGAAAACGGTTTTACCTGCCCCCTTCCACAGTTCTAAATTAGTCAAGGCCGCATGTCTATGTTCGGAGGCATGATTGAAATTTTACTCTCTAAGTCACATCAACCTTTTATTTTAAAAGTGCCCTACAGAGAATAAAAATTACAAAAAATAAATAAATAAGACATTTGGCTCACAGACAATCCATAGTTCTATGTAACAAAGACAAAACATGGTATCACAGAGGTCAAGACCACATACGCTGATATTTATAAAGCCAGAGTGGTAAGTCAAGTACACAGAGGTGAAAGTTGGTCACAGTCACAACACTGAATTGTTCCTGCAAGTGTAAACTCTGTCTGCCACTCTGCTGTCACCCTCTTCTTCTACTCTACATTGTAGTGGCTTCCTCTGCCGCTTATAACCTCCCCAAAGGTATACAGGCATGAGCACAAGACCCTGGAATTAGTATATTTCCAAAACACTGTTGGACTAACAGAGTGCTCTGCCTGACGGTTTTTGTTTTCAAATGTATGCTGGTTCCTTTAATGGGAGAAACTGAGTTTTGTTACCACATTTTTATCAATTTCCTAATTATGTAATTAAACATCATGCAGCCCTCCATTCTTGTATTACTATTCCTCCCCAGATATAATTCAGGGGGCAGATATTCTTAATGACTAGAAAAGTACATTTTTTTTTTAAAGAGGAACACAGAAATCTCATCACACAACTTAAGTCTGCACAAGCATTCATAGACATCGTAATTACTCTTTTACAAAGGAGTTTTGGCTGTCGTTAATTTTACCTGCATATTCAACGTGCCATTACACCATGAGAAGACAGAATTCTCCCTGACAGACACAAATGGAACCCAGCTTGTTCTTCAAGAACATCAGACCGATTCATCACTACCATGAGCACTAGGTTTTGGGAAATGAAAGAGTTCCCAGGGACATTATAGATGTGTCATCCAGAAGAACACCCAGTCCACCACTCCACGTGAACGCCTGCGACAGCTGCAGGGCGAGGAGCAAGCCGACCTCCGGGAGGGAAAGGACCATGTGGAAAAGGCAAAGGGACTGAAAGCTCTGAACCAGCAAGAGCACTCTCGGCCCGGCTCACCAGAACTCCCCAAGCTGGGCCCAGCGACCGCCTGGCCGAGCTCTGGAACCCGCTGCCAGCCCAGGCTTCCCTGTGGCTGGTGGCTGTGGCTGTGGCAGAGAGCACATGCCCCCTGGGGGGTGGGGGTGGCGGAAGGCGACAAGGAAGCGAGGTGAACGAGGACAGTTCCACAGCGTGCAGACTGCATGCCCGGCCACCACACACTGCACGACAGCCGCCGGGGCTGTGCAGGACGGCAGCTCGGCCCTCGTTCTCAGAGAGAGGCTATTTTAAGGGTGCTGAGTACACCCACATGACATCTCTCAGCTCTCCAAAAGCAGGCCCGAGCCCTGGGACAAACAGGCTCAAAAACTTAGCAGAGGAAAATAAGGGCCTTTCCAGATCTCAAGTTGAAGAAGTCGCTGTGTGCAGGACAAAGCGGGGTTTGCCACAAGGCTCAGGCCCACGAGGAGCGGAGCGCGGTCTCGGCAGAGACAGTGTTACCTGCTGTCTCCAGAACCTTCTGCTCCAACAGCCGGCCCAGCGGCTTTGCTAGCGACTGCAGGCTCTTAAAGAGAAAACAACACTGGTTAGCTTCAGCTTCCCCCCATGTCCTTCCTGCATGGAATCCCAATTTAATTATCAACACTTCCATTGATTTTATTCCTGGATTTCTCAAATGCATTTCTCAAAATGGCACACTCCAGCTATTTCCACCAGAGAACATTTAGTACAACCTTCTCAATTAATCAGCCATAAGCCATTACTGCTAAAAGGACGTCTTTTCTTCACGTTTTCAAGAGCGGGGCCTCTCCCACAAACATCTACTTTTACATAAAAGGAGCACCTGTGCTGTAATCCATTGGAATATTTTCAACATGTATGAAATACGAACCTTAATAATCAATTTGGCTGACAGCAGATGGAAACATCAACCCATCTGCATAGACGTTTAGCTTTTTCTTGTACTTATCCTTAAGCAGGCCAACAAATAAAATAAAACAAAAACCCAGATCTTCTTCCACTTCAAATTCAACAACTCTCCACATGATTTAAAAACAAAACAACAAACTAAGCTTAAAGGCAAACAAAGGGAAAGCAGGCTGCTCCCCCGTCCATGTCCGGGCTTCTGGCCCTCTCTCCTGTGTCTTCCAGCTCTCGGGATGCTGCAGAGCGGTGGCAGCTGAGGCTGTCTTCCCGCGGTTCCGACCACGGGCACAGGAAGGCAGGGCCAGGCCTTCAGACGCCCGCATACCCAGTCACGCTGCGCACCATCCCTGGGGGGCTCAAGGCACCCGCACGGAGCACCGCTTCTACCGGAGGCCGTGCTGCCCGCAGTGGCCTTCTGTAAAATCGGCTGCTTTTCTGGCCACGCAACCATCATTTTTACTCAACAAAATGTCTGTGCACAGTCTGGGTCCTTGGTCTGCCAGGACCTGCCCACGAGACAACGCCAACATTCTGCAAGAGTTTCTCCCGTGGCTTTCCTATCCACCTGTACTCACCAGCCTCTATCTGATGAGAAATGACAAGTTTTGCATAGGCCTGTATACTCTTTGTCACTAACAGAGCTTGTCACCCAAGACTGGAGCTGATACCCCCACTAAGTTCAAAATTCCTTTTAAAATTTTTTTTATTTAAATAAGGGGAGCAAATTTCATATATATAATTTTAAAAGCATAGTGATACTACCTACCCTAATCTCCCTCCCTCCCTGAATTCATTCTCAAAAGAGCAAGGGAATTAAAAGAATTTAAAGCTGTGACTTAGTATAATTGAATTATTTCCCTAAAAAAGTCTATTTCTATGAAATAGCATAACCTTAGTTTTGATTTTTATGAAAAGCACAAAGTTTATAAATTTTACTATCCATCGATATTGTTAAAAGGTAAATCACTTAATGTAACTCCAGGATAAATGATAACTAAAAATAAATAACTTATTCTGTGTCATCCATAAATCAAGTGTCCCTATTTACTGCAGCTTTCTTTAAAGCGAATATTACCATTTTAATAATCAAAGACCTTGAGTGACATCCTCTACATTCTGCACTTCGCCCTCTGGCCAGAAGCCTGTGTCAGGGTTACTCCACCCGCCGACACACCCACCGCGGGCAGACACTCACTTGCAGATGGGACTTGGGATGTGTAAGGACAGATTTCACCAACATCTGGAGCAACCCCACAGTTCAGAAGTGAACTTAGCTGAGCACCTCCATGTGTATTATGGACGCATCATATTTATCACCTGCACAGAGAATGGAAATGATTCTGTTTAAAGAAACACAGATGAATAATAATACTTTTGGGATATCAGATGTGAATATCTAATCTAATTTTCTCCAAGGTATCATTCCATATTATGGCAAATAAACAAGTCAAAGCTGTATCAAGATAAGGGATATCATTAGCCTGAGAAGAGGCTAGAAAAATGGATTACATAAATGACAACTGCAGGGGAAAATTATATTCCCTTCTCCTGAACAAATGTTAAGTGCATCCTTACTAATCAAGACTTAAACTTGAACTGCATTAGAATATACTGGTTTTCAATTTTGGAGCATCTAAGTTAATATACCAAGCCAAATTGGTGCTTAGTTATACTGCCGCTATGCATATTTATTCAGAAGTAAGTCCTCTTTTGCACACTTCAGAGCAGTGCTGTGAACCCAACCCAGAGTCAGTACTGAATAAGGAAAAAAAATTACAGATTTTACATGTCCTTAGAGCTGCACCTGCTGCTATTCTATTAAGGAAAATTGTTCTCTACAAAACAGCTGACAAATATAACAAAAAAGATATTTAAAAAATACAGGAGGTAACACAATGCAGAAATTGAAGAGAACATGCAGACTGAGCCACTACCACGGAAAAGGGATGTGCCTCTGTAGAGTTAAATCGCTGTTCCGAAGCACGGCCGTGTGTTTAACGCACTCAGGATTCTATCACTCGTTTCTTTCCATGTTCTCAACCAAAGGACATTTAAATTTGCTCCAAGATTTCTAGATTGTGTAAGTACTCATATATTAATAATGATTTGTTTTTGTTCACTAAAATAAATGATAGGTACTTAGTTCATGTCTTTTAACACAACATATCAAAAATGAAAATACACATGGATAATAGCGTGAGGATGGAGATCACAGATGCCAGAGACAGAACTGGAGGCACAGCGATGATCTCCAAATTAATGCTCTTGTTTTAGTGTCAGCAAACAAATCTAAATAAGTCTTTCTTTGATTTCCCTTTACCGTGTAATTCTAACCAGCTAATTATCCTTGGAGTCAAGAATGAACTGTGACTCCACACCTGGCTTCTGGCATCAGCTGCCTGTGCGGCTCCTCCACTTTCATTTCCTCTCTCTGCGCCGAGTTTTACCATTGGGGAAAACCACACATCTTACCCACACACTGATGATCAACACCCAGCTTCCAGGAAATCGTAAGCTGCGAGGTGGGGGTGGGAATTCTAATATAAGACTATGTTGAAGGGCATCAGGGCCTGGATAAGCCGAGAGTACAATAATCAACAGCATCTGTCTTGTCACTGTTTGTGCATCCAAAAAGCTGGGGTAGAGGACGGTGATAGTCCCAGGTCACCCAGGTTGTGACTCAGACCCTTGAGTCATCAAGGGGCTAAATGTACCATCTTCACTTGGCTCATCCACTGCAATTTACACAACAATGCTTTTGGGAGAAATAAAAAATGTCCCTCTATTTTTAGAAATAAAAACAAGGCATTCTGTAAACACTGTAGCTAAGTACCTGATGAGGTGAAAAACAAGTGATTTTAGATCTTTAAGACATTCCAGGAGACGGTTTCTCTTTTTCAAAAAAATGAAGTGACATAAATTTGCCTTGTGTTGACCTTTTTATTCTATTCCTGTTTCTGCGCATTAAGCTCGCCTTTCTCTACAGATTCATTCTGAACACTAATAAAATGTTTACTTACTAATGCACTGCTCTGTTTTATGCTTTTCTTTCGTAATTGGACACCATGATTCCACAAAGGTAGGGCACAAAGAAAGCCGGCACGAGGCACTGCCAAGAAGCCACAAGTAGTCTCGGTGCACGCCAGAACACTTAACGCTAAACTATCATTCCTCTCGAAAACTTCTGTTGCCAGAGCGCTCACAGACCCTGGGAGCTCAAAGACAGGCTTCAAGTGCTATTAAAAATCTCCAAAAACAAAACTGTACAAAAAAAAAATATGCCGCCCTTCTTATGTCACCATTTACAGACAACGTTTTCTCGGGATCTTAATTAAGATAACGATGCACACCTGTGTCAACATTCTCTGGCAAGACAGCCTTATCAATCATAATCCTTTAAGTACACTCCAACACAGCCCCGGCGATATGACAGGAGCAATCTGTTGCCTTTCCCGGGGTGGGTGTTGTGTCTCTCCCACAAGAATGATGAGATCTTTAAAATACAGCACAGCCACTTTTATGAGTCTTTAAAGTTTCGCCTGGAAACAGCTCTTAACACGGAACCGACAGGAACGGCCTCTCTTCCGCACTGAAACAATGCCAGCTGTGCAGCCGAACCTGGCACAGCCAGCTCTCTGGCCGCGTGCGGGCAGCACAGCTGCGGGTCTCACTTTTGAGAGCTTTGCATTTTAACAGGTAGGCATCCCCGGATCTGGGCAAACAAACCAATAAACCCCTTAGGTCGTTTGCAAATGAATTTTTAATAGTCCTGTGGTTTGGTTTTTTTTTTTTTTTTACACCAACAACGATCAGAGCAAGCCTATCCCCTGGTGTAAGTGAAAATACTGAGAAAGATAAGAAAGAGGAGAAAAGCTCCCTGGGCACCCTGGGATGCCACCTCTGCTGGTGGAGAGCGAGCGTGGGCAGCGAGGCCGCCTCTTCCAAACGGAAACGCTGCAGGGGAAAGGGGGCGCGACGTCACCATCGCCAAAATACAGAAAGTTAGGACCTCGTGTTCAGGGGCCAAAAAAAAAAAAAAAAAAAAAAAAAAAAAAAAAAAAAAGAGGAGCCCCCACCGCACCGGCGGGCGCTGTCCCCGCGCCCAGCCCCTCCTGGCCCCGTCCCGTCGCAGCCTGCGGGCGGCCGCGGCCAGCCGAGCAGCACGGCCATCAATGTGCAAATAAAGCAGAAAATAGAGACATCCTTAAGAAATGAGCCCTAAATTTGACGCAGAGCGGAGGTGACAACCACGGCGACAGAAGCGTCCACTGGAAACGCTTCGCTATCTTGCGGGAGTCTCTCCAGTCCTGACGCCGGCAAGGCGGGCGGGCCGGGGGAGCCCGGCGGGGCTCGCCCGCGGCCCACAGTGGCGGAAGAGGGAATGAGGCTGTCTGCGGGACAGACCCCGCGTCCCCGCGGCACAAACCGCCTTTCGGAAGCGGTCGGCCCGCACCGGAGCCCAGGGGGACGGGAGCAGGGGAGCTACCCACGCGCGCGCGCCCGCCCGCGAGGGCCCCGGCCAACAACACCCACGCGGGCCCATCGCGCGGCGTCCACCCGCTCCGCGCCCGCGCCGCCCGGGGCACCTGGCTCGGGTCGGGGGGCTCACCTCTGCTCCGCGACGCGGACGCGGACGCGCGGGCCGCGGACGCTCCCTCGTGGCAGGCGCGAGCCCCCGGCGGGCGGCGCACGCGGGCCGTTGCCGACCGTTAGCGCGAGGGGCTGCGGCGGCGCTGGCGGCGGCCGCGGGCGGAGCCGAGGGCGGGCACTGAGGGGCGGTGGGGCCGCGAGGAGCAGGGCGGGGGCCTACACTGGGCCCGCGACGGTGCCGCCGTGGAGGCCGCCACCAGCCGGCTCCGCGTTCCCGCACGTTCCCGCGGTCCGGGCCGCTCCGCCTCTCCTCAGTCCCGGCCCGCTGGCAGCCCCCCTCGGCCCGCGAGGTCCCCGCCGCCGGTGCGGCCGGCTTCCCGTCTCCATGACAATAGCGCCACCGAAGCCCCGCCCAGCCCCGCCCCTTGGGCGCTGGGACAGGGAGGGAAGCGGGCCCGGCCGCTGGGGGGGCGGAGCCAAGGGGAGCCAGCGTCCAATCACAGGTGGAGGCAGTGTAAGGAAAGGGGCTGGGCGGCCCGAGAGGTTCTTGGGGAATGCAGGCGGCCAGGCTCGGTCCGCTGGGGGGCGGGGGGAGGTGAGGGGCGGAGCCTGGGAGCCGGGAGCGGGCGGAGGGGAGGGGCCAGCGCGCGTGCGTGGAGGCGCGGCCCCGAGCGGGTGGCAGTGGGCTGGGTGGGTGCGTGGGGGCTGGAGCTCCGCGAATAAAGTGAATCTCGCACGTCGAAGTCATTGCGAGGAACTTCGGGTACAGTTTGGCTTGGGTTACGAGCGGCCCCAGCTGTAAAAGGCCACGAAGTGCTTGGTCCCAGAAGCTCTGGCGGCGTGCCCGACGCGGGGCCGGGTCCCCTGCGCCCCTGCCCACCCCGGCGCGTCGGCGACTTGTGGGCCAGGCTCTGTGGTGGGCAGGGGCCGTGCCTGCGCCTCGGCTGTGTGTGCCTCCGCCTCGCCAGCGCCTCGCTGAGCAAACAGTGGCTGGGTTGGGCACTGCTCGGCCGAGTGTTTGCCGTGGCGCTTGGGCGGGTGCGCGGGTGCGTGCGAAGGGGAAGGCGACTTCGTGGAACAAAAGGGGCGGGGGGCCCGCACCCTGCACCACCACGGACCTGGCGGGGCGAGCCGCCGAAGGCAGGCCCCGAGAGAAAGAAAGAAAGGCTGCGGGGCGCGGGCGGCCGGAGATCTCTCGGCTGTAGCGCCCCTGTTCCCACCACCGCTGCGCCGGAGACGGGCGACCCCGCCGTCCCGGGCCTCCAGCGTCTCCTCCTTGGCCGGCCGGTGGGGGTCGGGGGCCGGGAGACCGCGCCGAGGACGTGCCCACGTCCGAGGCCTGGCTCTCGCCCACCTGCTGCTGCTGCTGAGCAGAGGGCAAAGCGTTGCGGATTCCCTGCGCCCCGGGCGCGGGCATCCATCCGTCTCTCCCAGGGTCCTGCCTGCCGGGTCTCCGGCTCGCCCTCGAGCCCCGCAGTTTGGGGAGAAGCCGGGGAGGGGCGGGCGACGAAGCTCCCGGGAACCCGTCCTCCCCGGGAACCGGCAGTCCGCGAAGTCGGCGACTGGCGGAGGCGAGGAGGGCGCCGAGCGGCCTCGGCGGCGCCTTTGTGCTCCGGGGCGGCCCGGGCCGTTCTCGGGGAGCCGCGGCCGCGCGTCAGGACCGCCGCTCCGCCCCGAGTTAGCAGGGGAGGAAAGTTGGAAGGGCTCGGCGCTCCCGGGATGCGATTGTCATCCTGGGGCCGGCGCTCGAGAGTCTGAGAGAAAAGAGAGGGAGAGAGCGGGGAGGGGAAAGGAGGGGGGGGAGAGGCCGGGGGGAGGGGAGAGGGGGGCCGCGGAGGGGAGGCGGGCGCGAGGGAGGGGCGAGGGGCGCGCCAGCGAGCGGGAGACCGAGCCGGGGAGGAAGAGGGAGAGGGCGAGGCGCGCCTGGCGGCCGGGTTGGCTGCGGCCGCCCCGAGGCTCCTGCCAGTCCTCCCACCGACTACACCCCGGGAAGGAGGAGCTTCGGGCGCGCACAAGGCGTCAGAATCCTCAATTTCCAACTTAGCATCTTGGCAGGACCTTTGCGAAGCCAAAAGCAGAGCCCCCCGGTGCAAAGAGCGAGGGGGGGGGGGAGAAAAAAAAAAGAGAGAGAGAGAAAGCAGCAAGGGAGGGGAGGGGGAAAAAGCCCAGCCGGGGCGAGCGAGGCGCGCAGAGGAGCGGGCGCGGCGGTGGCAGCCGAAGGCGCGCGGGAAGCCAGCGAGGAAGGCGCCGCGGGCCCAAGAGCCGGGGCCCGAGGAGCGGCGGCCCGGGGCGGCCAGAGGCCAGGTGCCCTCCCGCTCGCCCTCGCAGGGCGCCGCCCGGCTGGTTGGCGGCCGCGGCGCGGCGCGCCCCATGCCCGTGTGTGGCCATGTCCTATCCGCAGGGCTACTTGTACCAGCCGTCCGCCTCGCTGGCGCTCTACTCGTGCCCGGCGTACAGCACCAGCGTCATCTCGGGGCCCCGCACGGATGAGCTCGGCCGCTCGTCTTCGGGCTCCGCGTTCTCGCCCTACGCCGGCTCCACTGCCTTCACGGCGCCCTCGCCGGGCTACAACTCGCACCTCCAGTACGGCGCCGACCCCGCGGCTGCAGCCGCCGCCGCCTTCTCCTCGTACGTGGTGAGTGAGCGGGGAGCCGCGCCGGGGCGCAGAGGACGGCCAGGGGCGGACGAGGGCGGCCGGGCGGCGGGGACGCGGGGGGACACGGGCCTGGGCGCCGCCGCCGAACTGCCCCGCCGAGCCTCGCGGCCCCAGCAAACTTGGGCGATTGTCTCGCTCGGCCTCGCCCGGGCCTCGGGCTCAGGACTTGCTAGGAAGAGAAGCCGCGTCTCGCCCGGATCGCGGGTGTTTGGGGGTGGGGGTGGGGGTGGGGTGGGAGCAGAGGTCTTTGCAATTAAAGGGCCGCGTTCGGGTCTAACGTGAGCTCCAGGCCGCCCTGCAATTTTATGGAATTAATTAATTAATTTTGGGTGGTTTTTTTTTTTTTTTGCCATTTGGGAAAAGTTACTCCAAAGAAATGGACCCGAAACCCGAGCAGGAGCGTGCTGAGTCTATGTAAATGTGGTTGGCCTCGCCTTTAATTAATCCTCCAAAATGTTGCAAATCCGTAATCCTATCTTCGCAATCCGATTTGGAGGTATTAAATTTCTGAAAAGTCGGCCGAGCTGCGGTGCATCCGGGATTTTTCGGCCGGCTGCACTTTCTGGAAAAGCGCGGTGGCTGTGGCGTGTGGGGTTAGCCGTTTTGGAGGTGGGAGTGCGGGGATAGAGCTCAGTTTTCTGTTTGAGGGTTTTGAGGGTTTTTTTTTTACCGATTAAAAAGAATAATTATTAATAATAAAATGCCTTGACTGCCCTTGTTCTTCCCCTCCTGCGCCCAACGTGCGGCCTCCCCGGGCGCGCCGCGCATTCTCCGCCGCTGGCCAGGCCTCTGTCCGCACGGAGGACCGGGCCGCGGTGGCCACCTCTGCGCACCGGGCTACGGACGTGTCCTGGCACGCGGGGGCCCGCAGGGTGGGGCGCCGAGGCCCGCTCAGCTTCAGGGGCCCGGCAAGGGCTGGACTACGGAATAGGGGTTCCCTGCGACCTTCCTGCGAGGGGGAGGGGTCTCTCCCGTGTGGGACCCGGCGAGCCCTGACCCCGTGGGGGGGAGGTAGCCAGAGCTCCGGCCTCGCGCTGCCCGCGAGACCCCTGGGGCGCCGCACAAGTGCGAGTCCGTCATTGCGCGGGGACACTCACCTCCTCTCTGCCCGTACCCCGCAGGGCTCTCCCTACGACCACACTCCCGGCATGGCGGGCTCCTTGGGCTACCACCCGTACGCCGCGCCCCTGGGCTCGTACCCGTACGGGGATCCCGCGTACCGGAAGAACGCCACGCGGGACGCCACCGCCACGCTCAAGGCCTGGCTCAACGAGCACCGCAAGAACCCCTACCCCACCAAGGGCGAGAAGATCATGCTGGCCATCATCACCAAGATGACCCTCACCCAGGTGTCCACCTGGTTCGCCAACGCACGCCGGCGCCTCAAGAAGGAGAACAAGATGACGTGGACGCCGCGGAACCGCAGCGAGGACGAGGAGGAGGAGGAGAACATCGACCTGGAGAAGAACGACGAGGACGAGCCCCAGAAAGCCGAGGACAAGGGCGACCCCGAGGGCCCCGAAGCAGGTTGGTGCGCAGGGGAGAGAGGACGGGGAGCGGGTGTGAGAAGGACAAGGGGGTCCTGGAGGGGGCGCACGCGGGGCCCCGGGGGCTGGGGACTGGGGGAGGCCGGGGGCGGTCTCTGCGTCCTCGGGCAGGACCCCAGGGCCCCGGGCGGCGCGGCCTCAGCGCCTCTGACAGCCGGATTTCGCCCGCAGGAGGAGCAGAGCAGAAGGCGGCTTCGGGCTGTGAGCGGCTGCAGGGGCCGCCCACCCCCGCCGGCAAGGAGACCGAGGGCAGCCTCAGCGACTCGGATTTTAAGGAGCAGCCCTGCGAGGGCCGCCACGACACCCTGCCCGGGCCCCCCCGCGTCGGCGGGCCCTCCCCGGCTGGGCCGGCGGCCGCGCGGCTGGCGGAGGACCCGGCCCCTCACTACCCGGCGGGCGCGCCGGCACCCGGCCCGCACCCGGCCGCGGGAGAGTTGCCCCCGGGTCCCGGCGGGCCCTCGGTCATCCACTCGCCGCCGCCGCCACCGCCGCCGCCGCCGCCCGCCGTGCTCGCCAAGCCCAAACTGTGGTCTCTGGCCGAGATCGCCACATCCTCGGACAAGGTCAAGGACGGGGGCGGCGGGGGCGAGGGCTCGCCGTGCCCGCCGTGCCCCGGGCCCGTAGCCGGGCAAGGCCTGGGAGGCAGCCGCGCATCGCCGGCCCCGGCGCCGCCGCCGCGCTCGCCCTCGGCGCAGTGTCCGTTCCCGGGCGGCGCGGTGCTGTCCCGGCCCCTCTACTACACCGCGCCCTTCTATCCCGGCTACACGAACTATGGCTCCTTCGGACACCTCCATGGCCACCCGGGGCCTGGGCCAGGCCCCGCCACCGGCCCGGGCTCGCATTTCAATGGATTAAACCAGACGGTGTTGAACCGAGCGGACGCTTTGGCTAAGGACCCGAAAGTGTTGCGGAGCGCGTCGCAGCTAGACCTGTGCAAAGACTCTGCCTATGAACTGAAGAAAGGTATGTCGGACATTTAACGCGGGCTGCTCTGGGCCTGGACTCCTCTAATTTATTAAAAACATGGCCTTGGCAGTTATTTTTCCATCACCGAAAAAGAGAGAGAGAGAGAGAGATAAACTACCCCTCCTATCAAAAGTTTATAGTCTATGGAGATGGCTGGCATAAAAACGCAATCTCCACACACACACACACACACACACACACACACACGTCTTACCCAACCGAAAAACTAAAAAAAAAAAGGATTTGTATTAAATCTATTCTGTATATTTAATGTAGCATTTTTGTATTTAAATTGATAATTCCATATCTTTGAAGTAAATTATGAAAACAAGACACCTGTACAGGCATTTAATGTTTTTTTTTGTAATATAAATATATACATTTGTGTTTCTGCCCTCGCCCCCCCAAAAAAACTGTTTCATAGTTTAAAAAAATACAAGTTTAATTTAATTTTTTACACCTATCAATTTTTCTGGGTATGAGCTAAAGTATTATTACAGAAAGGAAACAGGTTATACTCTTAGATTTAAAAAAGTAAAATAAACTGCAGCCGCCTTTGTAAAACGCAAACTATTTAATTAAAAGAGATTTTAACATATTCAGAGCCACTCATTACTTTTTAGAAGCCTCAATAAACTGTCCTTTGCCTTGGTCAAAAGGTGCAAACTTGGCAACTTTTTTTTGCGAAGCGGGGAGTGAAGGGTCCCACGGAGCATCAGGGAGCCAGGGGAAAAACCGCCACCGGGCCGTGAGCCCTGCCCCAATGCACGTCGGGCTCACCACCGGCGCGGGCGGCCTGGGGCGCACCGGACCCCGGAGGAACCCGAGAGACCCGAGCGCGCGCCCAGAAGGGACCCAAGATGGCAGAGCCAGCCAGAGACGCGCGCCACCCCAGCGCCGGCGCTTAACCTAATTACTCCCAATCAGTGTCGTGTTTTATGCAAAGCAATCAGCTGGTGAACTCTGCTAATGAGTTCGATTTTATGCCGGATTTAGCCCTTATTACTATTTCAAAGGTGCTGCGGGCTAATGCCGGGCGGGGAGCGTCAGGGGGTGCCAGGGGGAGGGCTTGCCCGCGTCGCCGGCTCCTCTGCTCCCCCGCACTCGGGGCACCGACCCCTTCCTCCCCGCATGCGGTCACGTCCGTGGACAGACGCCCGCGGGGCCGCGGCACGAGCGAGGGGACGGTTCCCCCCTTTCACAGGTAGGTGTCACACTTGTCCTGGGTTTCCAGCCCGGCGCGCGGAGCCGGAGCCGGCGGAGGGGGCGGGGAGGGGGCGGGGAGGCGGGGGCGGCGCCGCGGCCGCGGCGGGAACGCGATGCGGCCCCCGCAGGGACCCCGGGGCCGCTGGCGCTGACCTCCGGCCTCGTTTCGGACGCGTGGCCTTCGGGAGCCGCAGGCCGTTGGCCTGGAAAACGAGGCCGCTGTGGACACGATCGGGCGTGTCGTCGCTCGAGCGCTTGGCCCGGCGCGGACTCCTGAGTTCACGCAGCTACCCGAAGTACTTTTCCGCAGCGTCGGCATCAGCCTGATGATTTGCGTTGTGAGCCCGCGTGTTTCGTCCCCAGACCCAGTCCCGACGCGTGTCTG